CACCTCCCTTTCCCCCACCTGGTGGCTCTCGGGCGACAATGCCGTTACGTTTCGGACGTATCGGTGGGTCGACGTGTCTTTGGGTGATATGCCATCTTTCGTTTCGATTACGACGACAACGATGAAAACGACGACTTTTCTATTGCTACTACTGGGTGCGGCATGCATGTATTCGTCAGAGATGAATGAAATGCTGGTTGCATTGTGTTACGGTCGTGCGGCGTCCAATGTATATGTCAACTTTCTACATCTACAACATCACGGGCATGAGGGCGTCCAATGTGTATGTGAGGTATTCCACGCTTACCACAAGTGTTGACAGCTCGCTTGATTGCCGCTTTTGCCACCGGCTTTCTTCCAGGAATGTGCCTGTGCCATTTATTGCTGCGGCAGCGTGGTTTATACTTGTGATACTACTTTATTGGACCTGCTTGGTGGCGTGCTCGCCCTCGGTGCTGGAACACTGTTCCCTCGGCACATGGCGCGCGCCTTTGGGGTCGCCCAAGCGCGTGCCCTCTGTGCATGGAGCATCGCTCCATCGGCACTGGTCGCATGGCTTCGCCCCTTTAAATCTGTTTGCGTCTGCCGACATCTTGCTGTATTTTTGGTGCATGCCGGAAATACCATAATCGTCCAAGCCCAATTTATTCCTGGCCCCGGTTCCTCGACTGTTGAAAAATTCTTGCCAGGTGCTTCCTAAGGGCATGTTTTCAACTTTTCTTTGGGGTTGCACACCGTACACCATGGTTTGACACAGTGGCCTGTCTGCATTCGCTAATTTTCCCCACTTGAACTCTGTGACGGAAGGGGGCTATGACGTTTCCGGAGCCGCTCTGAGATGCTGAGAGGGACGTGGGAGGCAGGCCGCACCGTAAGTGTTGGTCGACGCTCATTCACTCACTCACTCACTCACTCACTCACTCACTCACTCACTCACTCACTCACTCACTCACTCACTCACTCACTCACTCACTCATGGTTTTTGTGTGCCATCCCATGACAACACTCGTTGTTCGAACGTTTGCCGTAAATCCTTGAGAGCACTTGTTCCAACTGCTTGCACAACGGTTGCGAAGCCTGCGGTTTCGGCTTTATTCGAAGCCTGTTAGAAATGTCATGGGGTAAAGGTGGTCGTGAAAGAAAAGAACAGAATCTTTCGCCAACACAGCGAATGTTGAGATGCATGTTTAGATCCAAAACATCGATCAGTCCACAGCACGACAAACTGTTCGTTGTCACTTCGTACACATGTTTGCTACATGACAACGCACGCTATTCGAACGAGTTTCATCGATCCCTGAGTGCACCTTCTTGTTCCAACTGCTTTGGCAACGGTGGCGAAATCTGCGATATCGACTTCCTTCGAAATCTGCAATATAACAATCTCTGCAATGCAATTCCCCCGCGCACCCGCCCAACAAACGGATTTTTTCCGAAACTGGCGATGTCACTCGGCCTGTTTATTGAGGCCCGCATCGGAACAAGAACTGCTGGATGAATCCGATGAGCTGGTCGCAGGGGATATTTTTTTCTATCACCCATGGTGGGTGGGTTTTTCAACCATAACAGCTGAAGGCTTTGAGCCTTGGGCTGCGTATGTTAAAAATGGGGCCTCCTCCCATGCAGTGCGCCGATTGTTACTTACACAACAAGTTGTTTCATCATCCAACAATCTCTGCAATGCAATTCCCCCGCCCACCCGCCCAACAAGCGGATGTTTTCCGAAGCTGGCGATGTCACTCGGCCCGCGTCGGAACAAGAACTGCTGGATGAATCCTATGAGCTGGTCGCAGGGCGACCCTTTCTATCACCATCTAGCTCAACGGACCGAAAGCAGTTTTTGCAAAAGTTCACTCTGAAGTCGTCAACGTTCCAGACGCGGTATCTGCAGCTTGCTGCTGCAAAAGGCCAGCCACAGGCCACTCGCCAATCCTTCGCAGGGATGTCAAGAGCCATATGGGCCACTTTGTGTCCACATCGGTTTCTTCGTGGACAATATATCCAACTTTGCCGACCGAATCTGAGAGCTCAAACTTTTGACGAAGCTCTTTGAGCTCCCTTTGACGCGACAGCTCTGGAGAACTCTCGACTCAAAACGTTCAACGGGGATTCGGGGACATATCTTTTTATGATGGGTGACACCCATCTCGCAAACAACGATACAAGAGACTCTCCTAGACCAATAGAGCTCAGATATTGAGCTCCGGAGACTCGCATCGAATGACCTCCAAAACGGGGTCTTCCGCTACCATCAAACAAAGATAACCCCCAACAGCGTGGCCAGCATCTCAATCGATCTAACCACAGTTTCCTTCTCCGGAAACTTCCCTTCAGCAGTGGGAAAAAGAGGCTGCTCAGGAGAAGCTTGCTTGCGCGATGATAGCTTTTGCAAATGCTCTTGCGTGAGGTGCACGGGGCATAACTCAGACTTCACGGCACAAACTCCAAGTGCGAGTGACTGACAGAGCTTTGGGATCAGTCTTCGAGGCTGGGAGAAGCCAAGACAGCTTGCCGGCCTCCGCGTCCAGCTTGACATGTCCAATCCGGGCGAGGGAAATTTCAATCTCTCTCATCATGAACAAGCTGCACCAGGAGGCCCCCCGCTCGCCCGCCCGCCCGCTCGGGGGGTCCTTACCTTTTCCTTCACCTTGTTTTGGACGTTGGTTCTCGCCCCGTTTCCCGGCACCTTCTTTGTACCCTTGGTTTCACGGGCCCGCTTTTCGTTACCTTTTCCGCTCACCATTCTTTAACCTTTGGGTGAAGCATCATTTCTTTTTTACCTTCTGCTTCACGTTTTGTTCACCTTTGTTTTATTTACCCTTTTTTGCCTTTTCGCTAGGAAAAGCTAGACTTTCAGGGAGAGGCTGGAAAGGTAAAAAAAGGTACCCAAAAAAGGTGAGGGGGACCTGCTGCGGGGGCTGGAAAGGATAAAAGGTACCCCGAAAAAGCGAGGGAGACCTGCCAGCCCTGCCAGTCCCCCTGTCCCGCGCCCTACCCCCCCGTCCCGTACGCCGCGTGCACGTGCGCGCGATCACCCTGCAAATGATTCCGCATCGACGCCACGCGCCACCCGCCCTCGAAGAAGCACCTCTAAGCCAAGCCCCGCCCTCCGCCTCGAAGCATCTAAACTTAGTGAACTCCAACCGGTGGCGGCGGTGCTATACCTACTTCTACCTTCTTAACCTGTACCTGTGTTTTGCCTTCTCCCGAAGAGGGCACCTTTCTTTTACATTTTCACTGTACCTGTAAATTTACTTCGTTTTACCTTTCTAAAGATTTGTGTTGTGATGATACTCAGTTACTAAATATTTTTCTTACCATTAGAGGGTCTGCAAGGCATTATGCCGCCTTGACCCTGCACCCGTAGGCCCGGCCCTCAAGGCTTTCGGAGGGGTGATCTAACGCCACTTTTTGGGACCAATGCGGGCAGTCATTTGAGCCAACTGGCCACGATGTACAACGAATCTTGAGATCGACGTGCGAATCCAAGCAGTCGAGCAGTCGACAGCACGAAGTGCTTTTCGTTGTCATTCGGTACACAAGTGTACTGCACTAAATATCTCGCCTTCAACCCCACTGTAGTCATGATCCAAGTGAAAGAGAGCTTGCAAAGTGCACTGAGCAGGAGCGCAAACGGCCTGCCGCTTTGTCGTTGCCGGCTCGCCAGATGCTTCCAAGAGAAGGCCATCGGAAGCAATGGTAACCTTGAGCTTTCATAACTCCTGATGCCACGCAAGCTCTGCCATTTAATGCCGCTGCAAGACTTGTCTGCATGCTGCGATCAAGCTGCCGCACAGGTAAATGTGGAATCGTGTTCTGAGAAGGTGTAATGCACCTTGGCTTTCCAACCACAAACAAGCATTGCTGGTAAGAGCAATGTGGACACTTCGTCCACGGCCGGATTCAGAGGAAGGTTTGGCTTGCTGCTTTTGGCTCGGTGTGCTACTAGTTGGCTACTTGCTGCACCCATGCAGAACATCATGCAGCCATGAGCATGCTTTTTGCTGCGCTGTGGAACGCCAACAAAAAGACAATGGCCGTGACAAGTCCGTTTCAGCCAGACGGTGTCAAATGAGACAGAGAAGCGAACATGGATAGCGATGCAAGGCGATCAAGTAATGCATCTTGCGAGCAACCACATACCTCACGGATTAAGACTGTGTGTGAAACACAGCCCAAACGGGACGGAGCAGTTTGTCTTGGAAATGGAGGGAACGGCACAATTCAATTGCGGTTCCAAGATTCGTCCTCCTTAGAAAGCGGCCGCCGAAGAATGGAGGACATGATTTCATTGATTCTGCCTCCAGATCTTATCGCCCACACGTTCGTCACATTCACGGCAAACATGGGGGAGGCCTTGCCTATTGGATTGTCCGCCTCAGGAGCACCGCACTGAACCATCGCCTGCCGCTTCTCAAACAGAATGGCAAGTTGTCTCTCAGATTCAACAGCACTGCCTGGTTCCGTAGCGTGCAGTCCGCATCCTCCTCTGGCTCCTCACGGGTGCGCGCAACCCAGAAAGAAACTCTGCAGCAGGCACAGCACAGCTATCCGTCTCTGGAACCCGCTGTTTGCATCTCTTTGCATCTGTTTGCCGGCCTTGGGAGCCACAGGCGGGCCTTGCGCCCTCGGCCACTGCTTGTTGTGCTTCTTCGCCTTAGCCGCCTCTTTGCAGAGAGTGCGGAGAGCATTCCAGAGGGCGGGACATTCTGCCCAGCCTCCGGCATACTCACGGGCTGCACTTGCCGAAGGAAACCTGGACCGTCGGCACATGAGCGTGGAACATGCTAAGTCTCTGATGTCCAATGGCCTCGCCTTCTACAGGTGCAGGTCTGACATTACGTGACATGACGACCGTTCATTCCAGGCCGGAACTCTTTGCTTGCACAGCCAAGTCTTGAAGCGCTCATCCGTTGCCACATCAGCGGAGGCCAGACTTGTCAGGTGCTCTAAAGCCCGGTCGCCCAACCCTTCGGATGCCTTTGCTCTCCTTCTGATCCGGCTTGAAGTTGGCCTAGCGAGTGTCAGACGTTCTGGCAGATGCTCAGAAGCCAGCAGTCTGCTAGAGTGTAGTTTTTCTGCTGTCAGAATCTCACCTGGCAGTATGACGGCAGAATAGCATGCGATACATGCTCAAGAATGGCAGCCTTGGCAGGATTCTTCCATGCCCAGTTGGCTGCTTCGAACTGCGCGAGGGCCTCCTCCGCCGCTGACTTCTTTGCCAATGCCTGTCACAATCGGAGCCACTCTACCAAGGAAGGGCAGTACTCGATTCTTCGGCACGAAGACTGCCAGGGACAATGGAATGCTTGTTGCTCCTGCTTCATGACGTCATCCTCCATGAACAGCTGATACAACTGATTGCCCCTCTTGTTCCTTCCTCCTCCTTGCATCCTGAAGACTCAGGCACATCCAGACGGCAGCAGTGGAATTGCGTGGGGCAGCTCGTCACATAGGTAACAAAACATGTGAGCTGCCTCTGTCGCACGTCTTCTGTTGAAAAAACTGCAATTAACTACGGTGACTTTCGCCAAAGCCATCATCCTCGAATGTCCATGACTTGCGGAAGACTATTCACAAGGTGTCTGTGTGTTGCTGACCGCGCCGTGGGTCTCCAGGGACGGATTGGCTCGTGGACACCGAAAACGATCTGCTCATGCTCTACTCGCCTTCCACACAATTTCGGTACTCAGCCCCGGCCGTGCTACACACCTTGTGCCACAACGTGTCACTGCAGCTTGGCATGGGCAAGCTTGAGGGGGTTGGCCCGACGTGTTTGTCATGCCTTGGGTCTCAAGATAACTGGAGCCACCAACCCACTTCAAAGTCGTTATCACGGAACGTCGGGAAACACGTGCTTCTTGCACCGTGGCGAAGGGAACCTCTGAAACAGAGCTTTACTGCAAGAGGTCTTTCAACACTGCAGTCACAGCATGCTTTCACATCTGAGGCCTTCTTTCCTTGCGGAAGCCCCGTGCAGGGTTGCAGCTGGACATCTCCGAAGCTGACCGTAGCCACAAAGCTTCCGCACTCCAGCTTCTCGAATGCGTAGTTGATATCTCCCTGCGGATACGACAGGACCGCAACGCAAGATCGAATGGTGAAATCGCCGTACGTATATGGGAACCCAGCATGGGGATCTTCGCAAGCAACTCTGCCGAATTAACGAACGCCCAACAAGCATCCAACACCATTTAGTTGCCCATCGAGCCGTCGCGACAGAACGACTGAGATGCTTCGCCACATGTTGCTGCCTCAGACGGCCGTACGCAAAAACGCTTCAATGGATCACTGCTTCCCTCAAGTAAGCCAGTCCACGCCTCACCTACCTCTTGAAACCAACATGTGAACACAGAAGTGACATGCTTCTGGCTGTCGTCCGAAGCACAGGAGACCGATGGGGTCTGCAACTTCCTGGCACCTCACAAAATGCAAAGCGGTCAGAATGTCGCGCGAATACATCCGACACGAAACGAATCTTTTTACTGTAACCGCGTCTGTGTGTGTGCGTGTGTGTGTGTGTGTGAACTACCCTCGTATACACATGGATTTAGCGGGGTTCACTCCCCAGTACTCACACCCTGAATGCAAAGTTGCAGCAATTTATTTCATTGCGAGTTTGCAGAGGGTGCAAGCAGCCCATCCGGTCTTGAACGAAAACACTGCATGTGCGCTGGTGATACCAATTGCTGCAGGGCTGGGCCCTGCGGTTCAGTGGCTTCGTGCAGTCGGCATTGCGATTGATGATCAGGGGCTGACTCTTGCTCTTTGAGCTTTTCCAGCTGTTTCACCGCTTTTCTAGGTTTTGAATTCATGTGCAATGCGTGCGTCAGAGCTCTGACCCGACCGCGACGAATGGAAAATGGTGATACCAATAAGACGATGCCGGACGTACCTGCTGCTAGATGATACTGAAGGTTTTCAGAGGTTCGATTTGTAGGGGAATGCGGCATGACTGCGGGACCACACTCAACGAAGCTACCACAATGATGGGATATGATACTGAACGTACCAAGTCAGCTAGCATTCTCGCCGTATATGGCTTTCCCCGCTGTTGGTTCAATCAACAAAGCATTTTCGCAGAACGTGCAGGCAGTGATTGCACATGTGAGAACAGTTTTGTTTGCACATGCCAGGACAGTCTTTGATTGCACATGCCGTGACAGTGCGCTGGCTGAGGGTTTACATATGCATTCCTGTACGGTTGCAGCAATCTGTGCCACTTTGCATTTTGCAAACAGACAGCATGCAAAGCAAACGATTCTTTGTGAAATAACTAAAGCCAACCGTGAGTGCACCCGAACTTTGAGACAGTGTGATACGGCTTTCCCCTCCCTCCCTCCCTCGCTCGCTCCCCCTCCCTTTGCCCCTCCCGCTCCCACTCCCGCCGTCTCGCTCTCTGTCTCTCTCTGTCTTTCTTTCATTCACTCTCTGTCTCTCTCTGTATCTCTCTGTCTCTGTCTCTTTCTCTCTCTCTGCGTCTCTGTGTCTCTGTCTACGTCTCTGTGTCTCTGTCTTTTTTTCTTTCTGTTTCTCTGTCCCTGTCTCTCTGTCTCTGTCTCTGTCTCTGTCTCTGTGTCTGTGTCTGTCTCTGTCTCTCTCTGTCTCTCTCTGTCTGTCTCTCGCTGTCTCTCTCTGTCTCTCTTTCTGTCTGTCTCTCTGTGTCTCTCTGTNNTGTGTGTGTGCGTGTGTATGTGTATGTGTCTGTCTGTGTCTGTCTGTGTCTGTCCGTCTGTCTGTGTCTGTCTGTGTCTGTCTGTGTCTGTCTGTGTCTGTCTGTGTCTGTCTGTGTCTGTCTGTGTCTCTCTGTGTCTCTCTGTGTCTCTTTGTGTCTCTCTCTGTCTCTTCTTCTTCTTCCTTTGGGCTTAATGGGCTCTCTCTGTCTCTGTTTGTCTGTCTGTCTACTTTGCCAGCGGTAAGAGGAGGTGGCAGTCCCACCCCCCCGCGCTCCAGGGCGCAAACCCATCCATCATGCTGACAGATGGAGGGTCTCTGTGCAAGGACTGTGGGTGTAGAGGAAGTGTGGTGCTGTGTGCCACCGTGGGGGCAGGCCAAGCAAAAGGCAGGGTAACAGCTGGGAACACAGTGTGGCCCCCGGTGGCTCCGCACTTCACGTGTTCCTCCGTGGGGCTTCTCGAGTACCAAATCAACAGCTTAAGCATGTCGAACGCACTAAAGGTCAACTGCTGTGTGCCCCACATCGGACTCTTGACTGTCCACACTGCTGGTACCCCCACCTGATCTGCCTGGACCCTGCCTTCATCCCGAACTGAAGCCTTATTCCCACGCCAGCACTGCCTGTGACCTTCCACTCGACCCTAAAACGGCTGTACTGGTGTGCGGCTGTGAAGCCGTTGTGAGTGGGGCGTGTGCCTCCGTGGGGGCAAACAAAGCAAACACTTCTAACTGTTACACACCAACGGCAACATCATGTACACAACCTCATCATTTGGTGCCCCTGTCTTACATCGCCTCGTGTGAAGCTTCAGCCCTAAAAGCTTGCGGGGGAAAAACATGCCTGAATTAACGGCCCTCCACTCTTATGTTGGGTTAGGCACGCCTCTTGTGTGGTTGACGAAATGCAAGTATCGAGTGCCCCCTCTACGTGAATTCCCACATGGCTCCCTAACTTTTTGAAACGGGTGCCCCAAGTTGCTGTTGGAACGAGTTGTACACGGAAGGAGCTGAGCTCCAGGCTTTGGTTCACTGATGACTGTGTACCACTTGCTTGCAAAGGTGGTGCCCACCTGAGTTCTTGTCACCTTAGTTGGCCTTGTCCATCCGAATCGCTGTCTTCATGATCTTCTGTGCGAGTCCCTCGCGTGGCTGCTTCCCCCCTTTCTGCCCAATGCGTTGCCGCGGTGGTTCGCTCGGCTCGGCTGGCCTTGTAGTCCCTGGTACGGCATCGGGTGGTATGCCCCGCCTTTGGCATGCGGCGCTTCCGTCTTTTGTCGCCCCACAGTGGCGGGTCTGGTCGTAGGCGTCCACCGCTCGTCTTTGCGCCACTGCACGGTCATGGATGATCCTCTCCTCCGCCGTCGTGGGTCCCCTCGCTGAAGAAGGGCTGGCACTGTTGGTTGCCGCAGTGAAAAGTGCGCGGGCGGGTGCAGCTCCCACGCTTCCAAAATCGACGCCTCTGAAGAAGGTGCCTCCAAGCCGGCCTTTGCCTGGTTGTCCTTGGGCTGCTCCCTCACTGCCGGTCACCGTGGTGGCTTGGTGCTTCAAGGCCTTGGCACGCTTCCCTTTCTTTTCCTTCTTCTTCTTCTTCTTCTTGTCCTTTTGTGCCTCGTCTTTTTGTCCTCGGCCTTGTCTGCGCTCTCGTAGTTGGGGATGTCCAGGAGGGCCCGGTCTGACCACTTCTTCACTGCTCAGTTCCTCGCTTTCCCGGTCCTCTTTTTCTGCCGCTGGTAGCGTGGTGTCCCGCCGCGGTTAGTGGCGCCCCGGGTGCCGTCCTTGTCCTGGGCCGAAGTCTGAGCTTGTACTTGAAGAGGATGACGAGGGAGACGGCGGCCTCCTCCTCTCTTCGAGGTCGTAGAGCGGGTCTTGGCTGCGAGTGGTGCCATTGTGGCATCTGGGTGTGGCTTGGGCTTTGGAGTGATGCCCCTCTCTTTGGCTGCCTCCCCTTGTCTGGTCTTTGGCAGTGTGTTTTCCTGTACGGACTTTGAGGTGGTCCTCGTGCGAACTGGTCGTGTAGTCCTCGCATGGGTAGCCTGTCTCGTCCTGCTGTGGGAAAACTGTTCGAGGATGCCCTCGGTGCCCTTCTCCCATGTGTGGGTCCTCGCAATTTCCACGGGGAGTTTTCGAGCTGCTCCTCCTTGCGCCGTGCTGCCGTGTAGGACGCAGTCTGCCGCCAACCTATCGTGTTCATTGTGCTTGCCTCCTGGGGTTCTGGGCCCTCCAGCAGCGTATGCCCCCTATCATCAGAGGCTGTTGCTTCTTGGTCTCTCTTGTCTGCTCCACCTTGGTTGTTGGTGGGTCCCTCTCCCTCGCTGTGCTAATCCTTCTTGGTGTCCCTGCCAATATCACGAACTCTCCCTCAACGGTCTCCCCCTCCCAGTCTTGTGCTCCACTGGCGTCTGCGTGCCGTCGTCTTCGAGGGAGTGGGGGTCGATCGCAGGTCCCTCGCCCTTGGAAATCACCAATGCCACTGGTTTGGGAGCACGCCCACTGGAGGCTGGTCCAAGATCTTCGCCTACGGGAGAGGGATGCCGACATGGCGGCTGGCGGCACATCGCCACCAAGCCAGCTGAACTCCTTCGACCTCGCCTCGTTCATGGCCGAAACACCGAGGTCCATGCCGCCAACCCCCGGGAAGAAGTCATCGAACCCCGAGTCACCTTTGTCGATGACCGCGGGAATGGGCCGAAAGTCTCCTTTGGCTGCGGCTGCATCCCGCAACATGCCAGCGACCCCGACGATCCCGGAGGACGAGGGGTACCAACACTTTCTCCAATGGCGGCAGTTCAAGGAGTTCAGGAATAACTTCGGCAGCAGCACAGCCTCCAGCTGCTGCCAGGACCCGGAATCCTCAAACGCTTTGAACAGATTAGAAGGCGCTTTTGGAGGTGAAACAGCGGACCGTTCGAGATTTGCAGCAGCCCAGCCGGAAGCATTTAGCATACTACCAGGAATTGTTTCATTTGACCGAGAAGCAGTTGCGGAATATTGCGGAGGCGACTAGTGGAGCATCAGGATTTCAGAGGCCAAACCGTCAGAAGTCAGAAGCCGGCAGTGTGTTTGAGCTTGAGCTAGGCGGTGACCATGTCAGTGCGTCCATGCAACAGTCGGTTCACACTTATCTTCGGCATCAACGCCCTGGCCTGGTGATGATTTCTATCCTCCGCGCCCGCTCTGATCAGCTGCTCAATCTTAGCCGGAACTTCAAACTGAACTTCAAACTGACCAACCATGCAGGCATGAAGAAGTTCATAGATACGCGCAAGAATGTTCGGAAATTATTGGAGTTGATATGCCAGCTTGGTATCACATTTTCCGAACTTGGATTGAACTTTGCAGTCGAGTGTTCGTGGCCAGTCAGCTCATAGCAATCTCGTTGCCTCAAGAAGCTCGAGAAGCTTCCCTCGGCGGTTCGTGCCGGTTGCGTTCAGGAACTCCGTGGATTACATGATTCGGACCAAGCAGATCCCGAAGAACTGATTACCTACCACTCGGAGATCGCCCGAGCAGTGAACCTGAGATCCCAAAACCGACGAGGAAGCGACTGGAGCCTCACCAGACCTATGCCACGACAGTGTCCCGAGATCCAAAGAACCACAAGGACATCGTGGCAGAGGATCAGCGACTTGATGAAGCCTAGATCATCGATAACACCGTTGAGATTTCAAAGAACCCTCGGAGATCCTCAGCAACACCCTGGAGAATTCAAAGAACCACCTGGAGATCCCCAGCAACACCATGGAG